AAGTCTCTGGTCACTCAGCAAATGAGCAGCACAGCCTCCTCACACAGCCTCCATAGCGACCAGCCTCCCGTACATGATCTAGTCCACATGACTCCCACTCCTTCATCTCATCCTCTTCTGCTTATTTTTGACCTTAGCTAACCCTTAGCTACCCTGTTATTATTTTTTTTATCATATTATTGTTGTACTGGGACTACATTGTGACATTTATAAAAGTTCTTACAATATATCATAGTTAAATTCACTCCTCTACTATTCTCCTTTAGCCCCCCCCACTCATTCCCTTATTCCCTCATTCCTGGAATAGTTTCAACAGGTCTCACTTTACCATTTTCATACATAAGTACTTAATATTTCCACCATATTCTTCCTCCTATACCCTTTCCTTATATCCTACCCCCTCCCACTGGTATCAACTCCCAAACAGGATCTGTTTTACCATCCTGTTCTCTGTTTTTGAAAAAAAATGGCATTTTCGTTAGTTTAAGATAGCTATTCTTAGCAAAGTGCTAGAGGCTCACATCTGCAATCCTAGCTACTCAAGAGGCAGAGATCAGCAAGATCAAGGTTCAAAGCCAGCCTGAGTGGATAGTTTATGAGATCCTATCTCAAAAATATCCAACACAAACAAAACAAAAAGGGCTGGTGGAGTGGCTCAAATGGTAGCATGTCTGCCTAGTAAGCCTGAGGCCCAGAGTTCAAACCCCAGTACTGCCAAAAGGAAAAAAAAAAAAAGATAGTTTATTCTTCAATATACTCTTTTTTCCTGAAATTTCAAAATGTATATAAGTGAATGCAGAATGGAAAATGCATAACTTAAGGTTCTCCAAACAGCATCCCCATATTTCTTTTGCCTCATTTGAGGCCTTTGCAAAGACACATGGCAGAGCCCAGAGTATCTAAAAAGTAAACAAGTTCATACCTGTCATTTAAAGAGCATTTAAAAATAGAGCTAAAACACAAATTTCTACTTGGCAAAACTATGCTTTGTATTTAAAACTGATTTTGGAAATTGTTTCAGATATTTTCCCTTTCAGGAATTCATTATATGAGCTATTAAATGAAACAAAAATAAAGATTTGTACCTAATCCATGTTACAATTTAATTGGAATTACCTCTAACAGTGGCAGAATGGTAAACAATGTTTACTCTTCAATCCACTCAAAATATATTAATAGTTTAGTGCTGGCATGCTGGTTATATACAAGCAATGTCATTTGTCTTCTGGGAGAAAAGTAACTGGAGAGAAGAAATAGACTCTATAGACTTTATCTCTGAGGATTTGGTCAAGAAGGACCAAACACTGTGCAACAAACACAGAGCTAATTTATATTAAAGTATACATACCGTTTTTCTGGTCTGAAATTCAAAAGACTTACAACATACATTGTCTTTTGCTTTCTTATTGTGATGTACAACTGGGGCTTGAAAACTTGAAACTTCCAATAAGGGGTACGACAAAATGCTTAACTTCAATTATCATCAGAGGAATGCAAGTCAAATTCACAATGAGATGCCACTTCCTCTCAGTGCGAAGGACTACTATCAAAAGGACAAAAATCAACAGTTGGTGAGGATCTGAAGAAACTGGAGCTCTTACATACACTGGTGGGAATGTGAATTTTTATCGTCATTAAATCATGACTGTACTTAAAACTATAGTCACAAATTAAAACTAGATCTAGCAATATCATCACTAAGTATGCCAAGCTAACGCTGTATTACCAGAGAGACCTGCACTTCTGTTTACTGCAACACTACTCACAATAGCCAGGATATGGAACCAGGTTAAGTGTCCATTAACAGATGAATGGATTTTAAAAGTATATATATATATATATATATATATATATATATATATATATATATAGTGGAATGCTATTCAGCCTTAAAGATGAATGAAATCCTGTCATTTGCAACAACATGGATGAACTGGAGGACATTCTGTTAAGTGAAATAAGCCAGACACAAAGGACAAACACCATATTATCTCACTCTTAAATGGAATCTAAGAAATTGATGTGACAAAAATAAATGGTAGTTATCAAAGGCTCAGGTAGACTGAGCCTCAGGTAACTGGAAAGGCTCAGGTAACTAGAAAGGTAGAATGGGGGGATTAGTCAGCGGGTACAAAGTCACAGTTACATAGGAGGAATGATTCTGATGTTCTGTTGCACAATGGGGTGGTTCCAATTAACAAAAATCTATTTCTGAAAATAACCAGAAGAGAGCATTTTGAATGTTCTCACCACAAAGAAATGGTAATTATTGAGGTGATGGTTATGTTAGCTACCTTGGCTTGATTATTACCCAATAGACACATGTAACAAAACATCATATTTTACCCTATAAATATGTATAATTATATTGATTAAAAGAATATTCAAATTTACAAGCTTGAAATTTAAACAATTTAGCTAAAATCATAATTGGATTTCTAAAATTCAACTCAGATCAAATACCCAAAATGAGATTTCTTCTGTACGAAGTGCTTAAGCAAAACAAAGTTAGAATTTCCATGGAAACAGCCTGGATGGAACTCTTGAAGGAGAAGGGAGGACAAAAGTAAGCATGAAAATGCATTTATTTATTTTTTTGTTCCTCTTCACCTCTGCCCCTCCAAACCTCAGGCTGTCATCTTAATGAACACTTTTAAGCCTCAGAGGGAATTAAGAACAATATTTGACAGGAGTGAGGAAAGCACTAAATATAGTGCCTCTGTGAGAGAAATGTATTCTAAATTCTTATCTGCTTCTTCCTGTGGCTGGGAAAGTGCTCCATCTTTCCATGTATTTCTGTGCTGCTGTTATGGTACCACAACTTTAGCTGGGATTCGTTTGGGATAGAGTGAACATAGCATCATGAAATGCAATTTTGTCCTCTTTGGAATGGTCATTTAATGAGCTAACTGAAATCAGTTACTGAATTAATATATAAATTGCCTCAGAATAATTTCCATTTGTCCAATACTTCAGAACTTCTAATATGCTTTCTTATTAATCAATTTATTGTCTTACTCCATTTTCAATAATAACACAACACTACAGACTAAGTAGGTTGAAGCTGAAGTTTTCCTTTTTTTTTTTTTTTTTTCAGTGCTAAGCACTGGGAACTTGTGACCTGGCACTCAAAGCTAGCTCTCTACCATTGAGCTTCACCCGGCCCCCACATGGGTAAGTGATAAAGAAAACATGTTGATTTGGGTTCTGGTCCAGCATCAAGGGGCTGCATCTGTTGATGACCTTCTTGCTGACAGAGTCCTGGGCCAATCATGGTGAGAAATATGGAGTGCACAAAAGGCCTAGCCAAAGTGGCCTTTTTATGACTGACCCACTCTTGAGCTATCTCACTAACCCCTTAATCCATTAATTGCATGAATGGATTCATCCATTCATGAAGTCAGAGCCCTAATTACCTTTTAAAGATCCCACCTGGCTCCACCTCTTAATATCTCATTTAACGAAGAGTGAATTTCAACATGCGTTTCAGAGAAGACAAGCCATCTCCACTGTACTCATTTAATCAGTACAACCAGAGAGACAGGGCAACTGTGGTGGCTACTAGTAACTCACACTTTACCCATCTAGAGAGGGTTAAGATCACCTGACTAGTATGTAATGAAATCAGGACTCACCCAAAACCTTGGGTATCTCAACTCTACAAATACCTGCATCCTGCCAGACCAATGAAGACTTTGTCACAGCTTCTGTCTTCTCTTGATATTAAAAACTTTTATTCTTTTTTTAAAAATTTATGCCTTTGTATTACTAAGTAACAATCTTGCTTTTTTTCTATAACTGCTGATACTGTTATTACTACGAATCAGGAAACATTCCTGAGAAGGTATAGTGAGGGTAGGTAGACATTTGGCTTTCCTGAATATAGCTATTTTGGACAAGCTTTTCCCAGAATTGTCTGACCTATTTTTGATCAATAAATCAAATACTGCTTCATTTCAAGTTCGGCAATAAATGGCTTGTTGAGGACAAAAGTGACCTTTCATAAATCTGAAAAATTAAAACATGTCTTTTGGAATAAAATAGTCACTGGTGCATTGACTAAGTTAAGTAGCTTAGAAATTATTTTACTGATCCTATATAACACCTTGGGGTACAATAATGCCTCTCTCTAGGGATAAACTAGTATCTCTGTTTCCTTAGAAAATTAAAAGTAATTAAAGTTTGAAATTGTGATGGCTCTAAATGGAATGATAACTATAAAGCAGTGTGACACGGAATCTGTTACCACAGTTTTCTGTTGTTTGTAATTATGAAGTCTAGTGAAATTCATGAAATGATGTATCATGGATTTAAGAACTATTAGGACCAAGAGATCAACAAATACTCCATTCTATAATTAGCATACACTTTAAGACAATCAATATGACGGTCATTCACTTGATGTTCTAACACATAACTTATTAGAAAATAAAAAGTGAAAACATCTCCATAGGTGACTTCCTCCTTGGAAATTACAGTAATTACTAGTACATACTTACTTACTAAATATTTAGCTTTGTAAGTAGTAGTTGGTATTCTTTATTTTACTTAATTTTTAAATGACCATGTGAGATTGGTATCATTGTCCCAATATAACTGAGAAATCCATAAAAAAAAAAAACAACCCTTACAAAAAGCAACTTGTTCCACTCACATTGCTAGAAAGTAGTACAATCTAGCCACAACCCTCAGTTTACCTGACCCAAGCCCCATTGGGCTGATCCAGCTTCTAACTGACTGGTACTCACTATAACCCACTCCTTACAAACCATCTTTAACCAACCAGTTTTCAGTGATATTAATGGTCCTCCAGGGTTCAGTTGTGAGGAATACTGTCTCATTTGCTAAGTACAAGGTAGTTATTTATGAGATTTATTTTAAAGGTAACAACAGGGCCTCTGGAGAGTTTCACACTCATGGAAAAAGCTACATGGCTATTACTGATAGTTAAAAAGAGAAATCATTCACCTTTACTACAAAATTAGAAACAATGCCACAGGAGTTTTTAAAAATTATATTTAATACAAGTGAATAGATTAGAAGATCTGAAATGTTATAAAGCAATATACACAATGAATAAATAATTTGCACAGGAGAGTCATGTTTACATTACATAACACTGTCTAGTATGGGAATACTTAAATCCAGTGATAATGGAGAAAAATCCATAAAAATGCTAACCTGTCTTCCCTTGTATGAAATTGTTCAAGTATAAAAATCCAATACAGTGTAAAATAGTATTCAATTTAGTTTAAGAATAAAAATTGCAAGTATTGCAGTTTCAGAAGAGAAATGTAAAGCAGCATTTTAAAACTATATAAACTACATAAGAATAGTGTTAAAGTTATGAGTTACTGATAAATGAGACCTACACAAGCAAAAATCAGAGAAGGAAGCATGAAACTAGCAATGTAGCTTGTTTAAAAAAAAATCTCAAGACTAAAACAAACTAAAATGTGTTCATGTAAGAGTACTCTCTTATACAGTGCACATATGAACTTAAATAAATCCAAGTCAACATCTTCAGTTGAATAGGCTAATATTTAATATGCTACATCTAGACCTACTAAATAATTTATGCCATGAGATGAATACATAATTTTACAGTGTCACATCTAAAGTTCCTTTCTTTAGAGTGCAGCATAGTAAAACTTAAAAATAAATATCTTAAATAGCATTACTATTAAGGCACAGTATAAACCACATTATCATGAACCGTTGAAGAATTGTAATGTCAATGACCTTGTCTCAGGTATTCACTAATAAATAGTTTTAAATAGGACTCTGAAATAGATACTAAAAAGTGTAAAATTATTTAAAAAGGGGGAAAAATAAACGTCCTTAAGACAGTTCTTGAGGGGTTAGCGTCTGCACTTCACCTGCCTTTTTTCCCTAAACCCCGAGTCCACACAATAAATAGAAAGAGAAGGCTGTTTTGTAGTAAGTGCCCGATCCTGTTTAGGGATCGGAATTGCTGACACCAGCAGGTACAAGTTTCCCAAAATTGAAACAGGATGGGGAGAGGGATTAGAATGTGACAAGCTCATCAAACGAGCACAAGTGATGTGTTCTTTCCAGAACTGGGTGTGTCAGATTGTCTGTACAGCTGTTGCACCATTAATTCCACATCACTTGTTCCACAGTCCCAATGCGTCCACAGGACAGATGAGAAAATATAGCTTTGGTGCCTGTCCACCATGATACCCACCACCCGTGCTCCTAAATTGATTGTTCGATGCCCATTTTTGAGATAGTATAAACACTACCTTCTTCATTGAAAAAAGTTCTATAGGCCGTAGTGACTGCTAAAAATGACAATCAGTGCTTTTGCCCGCTTTGTTTTAAAAAAAAAAAAATCAGCTTTTAAATGCAGTTCAAGCTACATATTGCTCACTCTGTATTCCCTGGTTCGACTAGATTCAAATAGCATTTTCTAACTTGGAAAAGGCAGTTTGCTTCCCTGATACTATAAAAAGACCAAAAATAAAAATCCTATTACAAAAGTGAAGTCCCATTGGTACTCCTGCCGTCATTTCAGAGCAGCCTCTCCGTCACCCAGGATCTTTGGGATTGATTTCCAAGACTGCGCCCATGCCTCTCATGCTTACCTCTGTCTCATCTAGAACACTACCTGGAGTATAAAAAAAATAATAATTCTGCTTCACAATAGCATCACTTTTTTTTAAAGCTGTTAAGTCAATGTCAACTCTCTTATTAGCTATTAAAAATTGGAAAATTGGGAGGGAAAGAGAGAACAATTCAACTTTGATCAGATGGCGGGCCTATTGCATTCGGTCGGTCTGCAGCTGCTGAGGCTGATACTGGCCAAAGGCTGCTGCGGCTGCAGCTGCAGCGGCAGCTGCAGCAGCTGTCCCAGGTGTGGCAGCGGTAATGGGCTGCTGGACTGCATAGCCGTAGCCCCCCGCGGTGACATACCCTGCAGCAGCTGGGGAGGCTGCATAGGGGTACTGGTCATAGGCGGCTGCGGCTGCAGCTGCAGCAGCTGCTGCGGAGTACTGTGCATAAGCCGCTCCAGTATAATCGATGTAGGGCGTGGTGGAGGCTGCAGCTGCCGTGGGCTGGACATGAGGAATGACCACTCCAGGCTGCACAAAAGCCTGTGGGTAGACATAGTGGGCAGGTATCCTGTTAAGAAATGGGAAACAAAGTCAGGCAGCAGTCACCTCTGGTTTGTAGCATTTGTTCAGAGATGAGACAAACTCAAATTTAGTGGTTATTATGAGCATAGGGTTGCCACAATATCTACTTTCTAGGGGTCCAGTGAAAGTACTCCGGCAGTAGCCAAAGTCATGGAGCACCCCTAAAAGGATTCAACAACAAAAATAAGGATGACCCTTTCCCTGCTAGAATTTGCATTTAGGATTATTTAGAACCTTTAAATATCATTCATGCAAAGTTTGGGAAATAAATCTAGATTCGTGAGGACTGTGCACAGAAGAGATTTAAAATGGTTTAAATAAGACTTTAGAAAATTTTGTAGGGAGTTCCTACAAGAAAGACAGCAAATAGAAAAATTCATAGCCTTGCATATAGGACTCCAAAGATAATCCGTAACAGCCCAGTTCTGTCAGTTCTGTGGGGGCCAACGGTTGGTTTGTCAACACTTTTTTTAAAACAAATTCCCACAAAGTCTAGTATATGTTTGTTATCATGGCAACCCTACTTGAAGTTGCTACGCAGACTCAGCACACATTAATCTCTCTGCAACCTCAGTCACCCTTATTAAAAATAAAAATTATAAAAAGAAGCAGGCGACAAAATAAAAAAAAAAGGAGTTTAAAAGTTCACAAGTGTGGTAAACACAGCAGTCACACTTCTCAAACGAACTGTAGTGCAGCTCACTCTGTCACAAGAGGCTGTTGTGGGAAGCTACAAAAATGCTATTATTAGCACCCATGGCAGTGATTCCCAAAGAGGTGAACAGCACACTTTCTTTCTTTCTTTCTTTTATTTTTTTTCCATAAAAATCCATAAGGACACAACGGTCAATCAAACCTGTTTGACTATCAGGTAACTGAGGGCCAGCCAGCTTGTTTATCTCTATGTAAGACAGACAGAAGGGTTTGGGGGGAAATGATGAGGTTGATGGAAAAGGAAGGAACAGGGAAATATAACTAAACATTTCTAAACTTATTAGAAACGTAAAAGGTGTACATTATAAAGAAACATTTATTCTGCACATCAACTAACTCTTGTTATCTTCCAAATCAATAGAAATAGATCAATTAGCATATCTGTTTTGAATCTGCACTATTAGTTAATATTTTGTACAAATCACTTGTATGATTATGGATTTTCCTGCAAAAGGTCAAGAAAGTGAAGTGAAATCAAGTATCTTTTTAACATGATACATTCACAGACCCTCACACAAGACAGACTCCAATGACCTTACTTAAAAGTTATTTTGGTTAAGAAATAAATCATAAGAGGTATAGAAAAAAATCTCATGCATTTCAGCTCTCACTCTTGTGATTCATTACTGCCCACTTATAAAACACTACCTTAAATATCTGACTTATTTTCACCTTTCTTTAAAATCATTTCCTTTAAAATTCTCCATCTTTTAAAAAATATGACACTAGAATGCTATCAGACCATGGGACAATCCAACTTCTAAGAAGTGTGAGCACAACCTTCAAATTTTAAAGCAAATATCACATTTAGATATCCACTCCCCCCCAAAAAAAACTCTCATAGATTTTGCTTTGCCTTTTCAGAACTCTACTGAAAGCACTCATTCACGATCATCTATGGAAAAGATGAATTTATCAGCGGGCAGTGAACTTTGACCCCAGTGATCAACTATGTTCAGTTTTACTAGAATGATAGATCTTTCCTAGTGCCTACAGAAACTGCTCCGTCAAGTGTTTCTGAGGACACTTGGAGATGTTCTTAACTGCTTGTCAGAAACCAGGAGCATGGTCATTCTCACACTCAGAACTGAGCAGCAGATCAGGTGACTGACTCACCCCTGGTGACAGGTGTGGCTTTATGAAACACTGTCCCTGGAGCCGCCACGTCCACAAAGTGCAGACACAGCTAAGAGAGGCTCCTCTCATGCCAGTTTACATGTGGTGATGGACAGCAGAGGCTGTAGCTGGGCTATTTTGGATCCTGTCATGCGACAAGGGCTTCCAGCGGGTAAAATGTCTTTATAAGGCCAAAGTAAAACATCTATCAGCTGCAAAGGCCAGCCAGTATGAACTTCACTGATACTGAGACATTAACCCCTGTACACCCAAAGTTCTGAGGACAGCACAGTGGTGGCTAGGTTTGTATTCTGGAATAAAGGAGTTAGCTGAAAATAAGTTTATTCTCCAAAAAGGCAGGATAAAGTAGAGAGAGAGAGAGAGAGAGAGAGAGAGAGAGAGAGTATAGAATGCATCACAACATTGGAAGGATTGCTAAAAGTATTCTTGTCTCTGTTAAGAAATAGTTGTGATTTGATAAAGTCATCCCATGAGTACATAATTTTTTCTGGAAGATCAGACTCCTACGTGAGGTCTGACAAGAGTGAGGAAGACATCTGGAAAGCAAACGAAAACCTAGGGCCCTTTAAGTCTTAGGGAAATGGACTGCTCAGGAGACCATGGAAAGCCTAACAGCTCGTTGAGGAAGGAAGGCAGAATCTAACTGAGGGGTAAGGTGGCACTTGTGAAGGAATTCCTGAGTTAGAAGTTTTTTAAAAGTCTAAGGAACCCAGTAAGGTTTGGGAACCTCCCTCCTAGTAGAGTTCTACTAATGTCCATTCCTTCAGTGCACCACGGAGTGTACATACCCAGCAGTCACACAACGCAAGCGCCACAAAGATACTTCAGGCAATTTTTAAAGAAAATTTACTACATTTTTTCTTTTTGTTCCATCTCTTCAGGGCCCCTCTGATATCTTTGTGACTCTTTTTCTTTTTTGTGAGACAGGGGGTCTATTTGTGTAGCCCAGGCTAGCTTCAAACTCACAATCCTCCTGCCTCAGCCTCCTGAGTGTTGGGATTACAGGTGTGCACCACCAAGTCCAGTTACTGTCTTGACTTTTGAAGCAACATGTTAACTGGCTTCCTCATCTAACAGCTTCCTTGCACAAACTGGTGACAAGGTCTTCATCTCACTTACTTGCTCAAAGTCACAGGCTCCTAACACCACACAAAACCATTTCTTAAACCTCTACGTATTTTAGACCTTTTATGCATCTGGATCCAAAATACCTTTCTAGAATTTTCTTTCAACCCTTTCCTGGACCCTGGATTGACTGGGTTCCTTAAGGTTTCCTGGACATGCCACAGATTCCCAGATTCCAGCCTTTGCTCATGCCATCCATCCCTCACCTGGAATGCCAATCCTCTCTCCTTCACCACTTGTTGAAATCCAAGTGCCATTCACCCTGGCTCTAAGGTGCTATGCATTAAATAAAGTTATCCCTGGTCACCGGTGGCTTATGCCTACAATCTTAGCTACTTGGGAAGCCAAAAGTTTGTGTGACCCTATCTCAACCAACAGCTGAGCACGACGGTGTGCACCTGTTATCTCAACATAAGTGGAGGTGGAGATCAGGAGGATCAAAGGTCCAGACCAGCCCTGGCAAAAAAAAAAAATGTTAGCAAGATCCTATCTCAAAGAAAAAGATGGGCATTGGCAGTGAGCATTGGTCTTCCCAGCAATGGTGGAAAGTGTAAAATAGGAGGACCATGGTACAGGGCAGCAGGGGCAAAAAAGCGAGACCCTGTCTCCAAAGTGACCAGAGCAAAATAGACTGGAGGTGTGGCCCAATCGATAGAGCACCTGCTTAGCCAGTGTGAAGCCTTGCATTCAAATAAATTATCTATGAGAAGAGTGCATAGTGATGGGTAGAGTAGGAAACCCAATGAGATAGCTCCCAATCCTCACTCTCCTTTAAAACCTAGACCATCTCCTCCTCCCTTCACAAAACCTTCCTGAATGACACTGGTTTCTCCCTTATCTGAAGCCACATGGACAGCCCTGCCCAGCACTTTCCATTTTCCTACAGGATTATATGAGAGTGGAGTTATGTCTCTTGAGCTATGACTTGACTTTGAGGAAAGGACACAGCTTTTAAATTCAAGGCCAGACGTGACACTGAACCCAGAATCAGACTCTAACACTTACCAGTCTGTGGTCAGGGGAAGTTAATTAGCCTCTCTGCATCTTCTTTCTTTTGCCCACCGAAAGAACATTAACAGTGCCTTTGCAAATGTTTATTATGAGAATTATATTATATAATTTATGTAAATCCCTTCTCAGTACCATACATACAGCAGATGCTCAATAAATGTTAGTTACTGTACTTCCTGTCCCCTTTAGTGGGCAGTATGATACCTAGCCCAAGGTTATCATGCCTGACATAAAACTTAGCACTGTAATGTGTATTAAATACATGCTTAGTTCACCTGACCTAAACTAGTCCAAAAATTTCTATTCAAGAGATCTACAGCCTCTCCTCTTCAAAGGTGAAATAAGAAAATGCTTCTTTCAAACATAAACTATTTATAAGATTTTGCTCAGCAAATCCACAAGTTCCTTCACATCTGTCCACTGTGTTAAATCAGAAAATGTGTCAGGAGAATGTTTTGTCTTTAAGGTCCTAAGGTAACCTGGGGCTCATTTAGGGACCACATAAAAAGAATAGTTTCATCACTAGAATTTCAAACAAGTAAAATAAAAATGTCTCAAGCTTCTTTCCAAGCCTAAAAAAAGAACATGTGACATTCAAATAGAATTTAGGATGACCAGGTGTGATTTGTTGGGTACAGACTTGGAATTCAAGCAGTGTTGAGAGCTACTTTAAAAAGAAAGAGAAAGCTTACTTGGTCTACCTGGAATGCTATCTATTACTAATAAGAATCCCAAGTTCAAACAATTTGTGCACACAGTAATAATCACCATTCTGTATAATGACAGTTAATATTAGAAGAGATGAAAAGCTTATCATTAAAACATGCTTGATCTAAAATTTCCATAAAACACATTACTCTGGTGGCTGTGATTTTTATCACATTACTTTCTTTCTTAAGCCTTGGTAAGAACTACCACAACCAGGCTAGATGTCTACCTCGTTCTCAAGAGCAGCCTGGCTTCTCCATACACCAAGTCTTCTCTCCTCTGTTCCTTTGTTCAAACTCATTCCATCCTATACCCTTCAGACACATCCAGTCTTCCTGTAACCTGACTGAGTCTTACCCATTGGTTCTGAGTCTAGTTCAAATCCACCTCCCTTTCCACAACCCAGTCCAACTCTTCCAACCCATCTATTTTCTTGGTACTTGGACTTTGTTTTGTATTTGAAACAATACCAAGTTATTTAGCAATGAGTAATTCATGATTGGTTTGCATTTTTCTTGCTTCTCAAACAAATGTGTGCGATTTCTTCATTTTATACAATGATAAAACAAATGAACACTGATAGCTGTTGACCGATTTGGTTTTATAACTTGTTTCAAGATTATTAGTGTGAGATCATGACTAAGGTCACTTCACTTCTTCAGATGTGTGTTTTCCTTCTCAATCCCGGCTTCACCACATAGTCTAGATCAGTGAAGTCCCCACAGCAACAGTCAGACCAATTGACGGGTCCATTTGTTTTCAGTATCCAGGTTGGTTTGGATGGGGCGTTGATATATCGCTATGCCTATTTGACCAAAAACTCTTCTCTGGCTAAAAAATCAGAGTTGGCAGTAAGAGTTAGGTACTGATGTACTAAAGTAATAAGAAGTTGCTAATGGAAAATATAACTTGACTCTTTCAAGTCAAATTATTATTAATTATTATTATTTATTATTGTTTTGGCCTATTCTTGCAGGCATGTATGGTGGACATCTAAATCTTTGTAGACAGGACTCCAGCCTTCCAGGTTACACAGGTAGGTGCTTAGGCACCGAGCTAGAGGGAACAAGTGCTGAGGATAAGATACTCTTCTAACTAGTAGGACATTTTAAAAAGAAAGCTTAAATTTCTGGATCTAGGAATATTGATCAGGAAGATGACAGCCAAAACAGACTGTCGTGTCCAGAATAAATTTAAGCAGTGACATCCCACCCATATCATGTTTAAATGGAAGGGAACTGGGGAACTCAAAACAGGAAAGTTGGTAATGACAAGACCTAGACATACACATATATGACCTGTTAGGTCAGAAAGGTGGAAGTTAGTGCTAAGCTCAAAACAAAAACAAAAAACAAAATTAAGGGAGGGGAACCCCAAACTGGCTAGTGTTAATGAACTCTGATGAGAGTTGTTGAACCTTTAAATTAGAAGACCTAAAAGTGGATATACATTCCAAAAGAAAGCCCGTTCCCAGAAAACTTCCCATGGAACAGAAACTTAGGACATGCAAGCAATGAATCTGTATTCTTACAGAGAGAAACCACACAATTTAGCACTCACTACAAAAATATGGTTAAGTGAAGTCACAGGCTATAGCTTAAAAAGCAGGAAAAAAAAAAAAAAAGAAAAGAAAAGAAAAAGAAAAAGAAGGCCCTTTGCTTCCCATGGCAAAATCAACACTCCTCAACAACACCGCCAAAACCAAACCGCAAAGAGCCCCTTCCCGGAGGAAAAGAAAACACTTTCACTACAGCTTTTTTCAATTAAGTAAAAAGCACACAGTTTAGCTATCAACACCACTTCATTACTGTAATAAATAAAAATAAAGCACACGGAGGGCTATTGACTATTGTGAAAAATAAAAACAGCAACATCCATGCATCGTTAATCACCATCTGAGCTTGTGTGTCTGAGTCTACTGGTTACAGAGTTTAATTCCAAACAGAGCTATTCCACCTCTTATGGTATCCTTCTCATCAGTTAGCTTAACTGTATACGAGCCCTGTCAGGTTAGAAAGAGATAAATAAAATTGAGTCAAGTTGAACAGTAGTAATGGTGATGGGACACAATCGTCTTGTACACAAGTCATACCTGGTATTTTTGTTTTGTTTTGTTAATCATGAGCTCAATATTTGTCTGGTTTGGAGGCTGCATACTTGGTCAGATAACTTGACTCATCTAAAAATATTTATAGCATCAGCATTGAAAATACACACACGTATATATATAATTATGTATAATCAGGAATATTCTGTGATACGTTGATCTTGTCTGTTTATAACAAAAAGGCAGGTTAACAAATGGTAGGTATCTTGAAACTTTGGAGGCTTGATGAATTGACTTACCCGAAAGGTCTTTGTATAAGGGCTGGATGAAGTTGCTGAACACCAAAGGCAAAACCTAACAAAAAAACATACCACATTCTTCACTTGTGCACGGCTAGGTATTTACTACTCCTATGCATAAAATGCATTAACAACTTTTCATTTTAAAAAATTCTTTTGTGATACTTTAGTCTCAAAAATGTTGTCATCGATCCTCAATAAAGGTTTTAATAGACTAAAAGTGGACACTTTAACAAAATCTTCAAAGTTTAGTTGAAAGACATAAAATAAGACCTTAGAAAAATTAGACCGTAAAAAAATGCTTATGAAATGAAACCAAGAACAACAGGATTTGACAATGAAGTTATATGTCAGAACTATTTCTACAGTTCTGATCTATAAAATGTGTTTGTCATTTGGAACATTCTGGAATGCTTTGGAAGATTATGGGTTTTTACAATTTATAGTATTAAAATTCACAAAAAGCAAATGTCCCTTCTGTTCTGGATAGTACATAAATATAATGTATAAGACAGATACATATTTTTGAATGCCCATGGATATTTGTATGTGCACTGGCTTTCTTGACAATGCAGTTTCTTATAAAATCTATTTGGATGAAAGTGTCAATATCCTTCCAAAATTTCAGATTGAAAGATTTTGGAGTGAAGAGTATGTGATTTGATCAAACAAAATTGCTTGCCTAAGGAAATGACTACATTGGCTCAATAATCAACTCTAAATTATCTGTGCTAATGCAAAGGTAGTAGGGTAAATAATCCAAAAGGTCATATTTTCTCATAGACAAAATGCTGCTTCCCTTTGGCAACTAAGAGCTACATAAATTTTAGTGAAGTATTTCTCATCCCAAAGCAAGCATCATTTTTGTTTTTCTTTTTGGTGGTGCTGGCATTTGAACTCAGGGCCTCATGCTTGCTAGGCAGGGGCTCTACCAATTGAGCCATTCTACCTGCCTACACATCAATTTTTAAGCCTAGATCTTGGGTAGGAGAAATCTTTCTGTGTTCTTTGAGAATTTTCTGTGGTTTTGTGAGAGCTTCGCCATCCAGATTCCACTCCATGCCTACACTTCTCTCAGATCTGTTCAAGTCAGATGGCCTGCTCTGAGTACAGAGCGACTGGTAACAAAAGAACAGACAACACTGAGTAGGGAAGTACACCAGCAAAGGCCGCCCATGTAATCCATATAGAATCCTTTTTTTCTTTTTATTGTTGTTGTGCTGGGTGGGGGGGGGTACATTGTGATTGTTAAGATTTACAAAAGTTCTTACAATGTATCAAATATATCATACTTGAATTCACCCCCTCCACAGCATCCATTTTGAGCTACAAGTGGCTAGCTAAAAATTGAGAGTGGATTCCAAATGCATTATCATCATATCGGAAACACATGAATCAAGCCTAATTCTCTTGTGTTCCCAAATTACCCAGACCCCAAGATCTATTTTTGCACTCAGATAAATTTCAAGGCCTAAAGAAGTATTTACAACTCTCATTTAACTTTAATGCCTTGGTAGAATAACTAGCCATGGCTCAAGTTTTACCAAACACATGTACATGGCTTCTGAGGAAGTCAATGCCTTCTGGATCAAGGAATTATTCTACCCACAAGTGTGTGTGTGTGGGGGGGGAGGGTTCTCTAACGGGGAGGGGGAGACAAATATTTCTCACCTGGTTGCATGATCCTTGGTTTTGCTCCTAAGTAAGCCAGATTCACATTGGCCTTCCTGCCATCGATGATGGGATTGGGATCCTTGCAGGCCCTTTCAGCGGCAGCCCGGTCAGCCATGGTGACCTTAGCAACACACACACACAGATATACATACAAAGCTCTATATTAACCCCTGAAGGAAACAGAGTCACTCTGGAGAAGTCACTCACAATAAAATGAGATCAAACTTTTTCTTTTCTTTTCTTTCTTTCTTCTTTTTTTGGCTGGGTATTACTCTTTGATCCTCCATTTAAAAAATAAACAGCAGAAGAAAGGAAGAAAGAAACCCTCTATCCCCACCCGAAGTCCGAAGGGTGCTAGCAGGGCCTAGCAAAGATTTGGAAGCCTGAATTCTTAAAACTCCTGTAGATCCTCCACCCCCGCCCCAATCCCCCAGCCGCTTCCCCAGGTCCCTAACCGGCCTCAGAGGCACTGTTTGCTTTAAAGAAAGTCCAGCCTCACAGCAGCCCCTTTCTTCAACCAGCCGCAAACACTCCCCAAACGACAATAGCTATTGTCCTACTCTGGGGGCTCCCTGCTCTTCAGCAGCCGAATTGCACGTTTAAATCTCCGGAAAGCTTAATGTGCTGTTTCAGTTTGGCAAAGAGCCATGGGATTTATTTTTTTTTTAAAGAACCTACCTTTACAATTAAAAAGGCAGGGGAGTGACACGAGGGGAAAAAAAAAAACACCAGACCTCATGGGGTGTCCCCTCAGTAACCCAGCCGGAACGCCAGGAGACACACGCATTTTTTTACAAAGCAACAGCGCGCTTAACAACCGGCCTCCAACCCGGGAATTCAATTGTGCGGGGCTTCGGCCCCTCCCTCCCAGTCCTCCGCACCCCAAATCCAGCAGTCATCGTCGCTCTCTGCTTCCACCCCTGCCCCGCCAGGCACCCCATAGGGCATCGCATTTGGTCCTCTTGGACCCCGGTGAGGCAGGCGCCGGCCTCCCTTCCCTGACTCCGCCGCGCGCAAAGTTTCAGTTCAGCCGGGAGCAAAGGGGGGACGCTGGTCACCCTGGCACAGAGCGTCACAGGGTCCAACCGAGCCCCTCACCCGGGGACCAAAAGCCACTCGGTCCCTCCCCGCCCCTGCGGTCCTCAGTCTCCCCGCCAGGCTCTTTGTAACAACCTCCCCCCTCCACCATCCATGTAACTTACAAATCCGTAGCCCCGGGACTTGCCGGTCTGCCGGTCAGTGATGACCACCGCCTCCTCGATCTCGCCGAAGACCTCGAAGTACTTGCGCAGGCTGGCGTCGGTGGTGTGATAGGGCAGCCCCCCGACGAAGATCTTGGTGTACGTCGTGTCCTTCTGGGTCGTGTGCATCTTCGCGCCCGCCCCGCGGCTCGGGCTCCGGCTGCGGCTGCGACTCGGGCAGCGGCTGCGCCTCCTCCTCCGGCTCCGCGTCTCCCGCACCCTTTCGTGGCCACCGGGGGCCAAGGGCGAGCGCGGGGGCGAGGGCTGCGGCGCGGCGGGGGCGAGCGGCCGGGGGCGGCCGAGGGCGTTGGGCACTCGGCTTCCGAAGTCGCCAGCAGCCCTGGAGACTAGACTTGGTTCTCTCCTGCCGCCCCCTCTGCCGGTCACGGTACAAATTCTCCGGATCGTCTGGGTTCTGGTCTGGTTCTAGAGACCGTGCCAGCGGTTTCCACTCACCCCGCGGGGAGGTAAAAAAAAAAAAAAACCGCAAAAAGAGAGGGTGGTCCTCCAGCGGAGAGGGCGCGATGAGAGGTAGATTTTGCGTCCTTTAGAGTGTGTGTCTCGGGCGGGTCGTGGGTTGGCGATGCGAGCGTCCGAGCGTGGAGGTGGAAGCTGGGGGCGCGGCGGTGGGCTCTGCTTGGGGACTCCTCGCGGCTGCCACTCGGGTCTGTCCCTCCCGCCGCCGAAGCTGGAAATCCAGTGCGGAGGACGGCTCTCCACCTCTCTGCTCCCTTCCCCCGCGGGCCGGGGGTCGACGCCCGGCTGGGGAGGGGCGGGCCGGACGCCTGCGATTGGCCGGGACAGCACCTGGGGCGCCCGGCGCCGCCGCCCCCCAGCTGTTGGGAACAGCTGCTTCTCTCCCAGCGTAGCGCAGTGCTGGGTCGCCCGGTTGGGCTCTGGAGCTGGCGCTGGGGTAGTGTTGGAGAGGGCTGGAGGCGGCCTTGCTCTCGGCGTTGCCTGCTCTTACCCGTGAAAGTCCTAGAGACACGCGCGTCCCTGGGCAAGGGACTCAGAGAGCAGAGACTGCACCCGAGAAGGGGGATGGTGGGGGTATAGCGGGAGCTTCGCTGCTTTCCAAAGCAGATCACTCAAGCCTTTTGCGCCAGGCCTCAGTGACAGAGCCAAGGACCTGGGGGGTCCCCCGAGGCCTGGAGGCAGTGTGCAGAGAGGCCAGTCTTCTCCCAGACACCTGGAACTAAGGAGTTTGGACAATGGTGCCAGCGGTACCTGAGTTAGCTACTCTGGGGTCTGGAAAGCGAGGTAGGCCCCCAACTTTCCTTGACCCCCGAGCTGGCACTGGAAAGAAAAATATAATAATTTAATAATATAATAATAAAAAGATCTAGCACTTGAGTGTGCTTGGGAGAACCTTTACCCTTCACTGTGCCCAGCCCAGCCGAACATAGATACCTATGTTCATCAGGTACCACCTTCAATTCAGAGAACCGTAAATTAGAGGTTTAGCCCCCACGGGTCACCAAATTTGTGTTTCCTCCCTAACTTATTTAAGGGGATGGATTACAGATGTCTCATCATCTTTTTTTTTTTTCTCCCTAAGCAAAGAATGTTTCCTTCTATTTTATTGCAAAAATGTTTAGTGACTTGACTTATTTTACCTAGATGTAATTGTGAAAATTGTAATTTAAAAAAAAATAATCATCTTGTTATATAACCACTGATTTCTACCAGCAGGCCTGAAAGCACGTAGTACAACACACACACACGTATCTTGTTGGAACTTCTTTTAATCAAGAATACATTTAATTCAGCTTTTTAAATCATTCAGTCATATTTGAGGTTTGAATGAAAATATTTACTGTGAGCAGAAGATTTTACCCACTACTGTTAGTATACAATTTCCTTTTAAGTCAGTTCTACTAGGAGTGTCCCCTGACATCCATCCCCGTATTAATTGTCCCTAGCCATACCACTTATTCCCTTTAAAGCAGGTCAGTATGTTAACCTGTTAGAAAGGCACACACATACTGTTTTTCTCTCCAGGGCAGCTTTACCATCAACCCAAGAGTATGAGAAATGTTACGACTGCAAAAGCTAACGGGAATGCAAATATTCTTGTGCCAAATGTTAAATTTATCTTGCCGACTTCCGCGTGAGGCTGACTTTTTGAGGTTATCAGGTTCTTTGAATTTGAACCGCCCAGTGGGGGATATGGAGAAATAAGAAATCAATCTAAAGTTAAAATTTTTCTTTAATCCAATTGAAACAAAATTAAGGATTTTAAGATTGATAAGAGCCAAACTGTAGAAATGTAAACAACACCCTCTCCTCGATGCTTCAGTAAAGTACAGGTTCAAATGAGACTCTGCATGCCTTAATGATGTAAGATAATTTTTAGGAATTAGGGAAAATAAAGCAGGCCCTGACACAGAGGAGGCGTATTTTTTTTTTAATAGTTAGCATCCATCTTGTGGTGTCAATTAAGAATTACAGTAGTTAGATGAGGCTCAGGCAAAACCCTTTTGTGAGGGGAAGCTGCTTACCCAGAAGCCATATAGAAGAATGACTGGATGCCTCCTCTGTCTTCCTACCAGAACAGAGAGCCCACCATGGAGAGAACTGTGATAAAGTCAGGGAAGGAGGGCATCTGGGAGTGGAGTTGGATGGTCACTAGGTAAAGTGGGGAGATTTACAAGAAATTCTGATCCCAGGTTAGGATAACTATATGGTAGACCCCAACTTCTGGAAATAAGATGCTTCACTGCCGTTGTTCCAGAGAAAATAACACAGCGACTCTCCCTCTGTTCCCATGCACCCCTGGCTGGTGTGCCTTGATTCTTTCAAGGGAAAAGTAAATTGTTCATAGCTTTGTTTGAAACTTTGTTTCTTTTGTACAAGATGATACTTGGGTATTCCCTAATTTTGAATTCCAGAGATAATTAAAGCATGGCTAATCTGCTGGTATTATTGTGTGAGCCTCTAAGAACACAGGTTAAGTGATGCTGATTCTTTATTTTCTAAACCTATTTAAATATGAGCCATAATTCATTACCCAGCTCAGCTCCACAAGCCACAGAGTGCCCCCCCCATAGGTGGGCACTGTGCTAGGCATAATTGATGCCCACTGTGTGTTTTGTTTCACATCTATACAAAGGTGAATACTGTTACGATTACCAGATCCATTCTTGGCGGATTTATGAACCTAAGCCATCAAACCATGTAGCCCTGGGGCCATAAAATCTTTCTGAATTCAAAGTTTCAAGGTTATTAAGTACCAAATATTTCTGTACAATTACCCATTACAAATTCAGTTTAAAAAAAACCCAATGCTTGAATAATCCTTTTGCCTTCTCAGCTGCTTTTGGCAGGTGACACTCATATGTTTACAGGTCTTGTGTAATATGATATGTGCTTCTTTGGGAAGAAAAAAAAGCCATAAAATACTGTAAAAGTTATAAATAGGTACCAAGCTTGTCATATCCAAATTAGTACATATGGATGGGCCTGAATCCTTGGTTCCTACTCCTTGGCAACAATGATACTATTTTATTACTTACAGTAAAGTATTGTTCACTTTGTTCAAAATCTTTATCTGACTATTCAAGGCTAGAACCAAACTCAAAAGTCTGATATTCATTTCTCTATTTTTCTCTCCCTTACTTCCTCTTATTAATCATGGGGATCAACTCGATGCATTTGTGCATCTAGAAGAATTTTGACAAAAGAGTAATGTTTCATGAAGGCTCCAGGAAGAGGTTCCTACTCAGAGTTGGTGGCACTTTGGACAATAAACCACTTGAAGAAAGGATGATCTCTTGGATGTCACTGAATCTTTTGCAGGTGGTCACTAAATCCCTCAGCAGGGTTTGACACACAGTTTAGCACTAAAGAAATAATTTACTGAAAAGAATTAGTATCCTAAAGATATTCATTTTCATGGGAATAAATACCTTCTTTTTCTTTCTTTCTTTCTTTTTTAAAGAACCACATTCTTGATAGAACTACCTGCAGAATAGTTAGGCCAGGTACTTAAAAAAAATTTTTTTTAACAAAACTGCTGCATCAGTGGAGGCATTTGTTTTGGATGTTTGTGAACGTTTTACCTTCCCTTGAGAAATTGTGTGAATAGTCAGATGTGAACCCACAGGTTGTCTGGCGTTTGGTGAAGACCCAGATCAGTTGTATCTCTATTTCTCTGGTGTGCTGGTGTTCTTTCTTAGTAACAGGTAGCAAATGCATGTAATAGATTCTGATTCTATTTTAATGTGCAGAAGAACTGGCAGGAACCTAGTCAGTGCAGCTCCGACCCACCTCTGGGGAAATTTATTCATGTTGCATTAAACCATATTTAAGCTGGTAAGTAAAGTGAAATGGAAATTAGTAACTGTAAATCAGTCATTAAAGTCATAATGCTTCTTTTACATCAAACATTCCCAAACCCAAAAGCAGGGTTGGGTTATTTGGGAGAATCAAGCAAGGGCAGAAATGAAAGTGAGAGAGGCGACAAAGCTCAATTGCCAACTTCACCTTGCAAACAGTTTCCCTTTGCCTGGGTAGAAATGGCTTTAAGTGTACGCACACTTTATATTATGTTATATAAATTCAGAAGGCAAAAAAGAAAGCAAACATTTAAACACATTGTGTGCTTCTTTGCATTTTCACCTCAGGGTGTACTTTGGTTTTAAGTCTTTTAACAGTGACCCTCCAAGCTGCCAAGTTATTTTTAGGGAATTGATGATACTCTCCAAATGTATTGAATAACCTCTTTGTCGATGACAGATTTGTTCTAATGATGTTGTTGTGTGTTGGGCAAAGGGCGCAGAGCAATGGAAACAGTCTTGGATCCACGACAGGAGACTTAGGGTCTAGTCCAGGTGGTCATCAATCAGCTCCAATACCTTGTTTTGTTTATGCTCCATTAGAAAGCAGAAATATAGGGCTGGGGGTGTTGCCTAGCATGTGCAAGGCCCTGGGTTCCACCTGTAGCAAAGTGATAGAGACAGAATGGAAGCTGTTACTCATACCCTTTATTTAAAGATGCATAGAGACATCACCTCAAATTTAGGCGACAACCCAGTGTTGAACTTGAGTATTATTCATTTACTTTTAAATTGAAACTACTTGAGATCATTAAGATTGATATTTTCTCTGATAACAATGGAAAGGCATATTTGTGATAGAAGATTATGAAAAAAGCCATCAAAATATACAAAGAAAATCCAAACCATCCACAATTCTGCTCGTCAGAATAATTATTGACATTTCAGAGTAATTCATTTAAGGCTTTTCTTGTACGT